ACAAGATCGTATTTCGTACCTTGGTTTTCAATACCTTTGTCTTTCTTCAAATCTTCAATGAGATCAATTGCCTACGTATTGATGATAATTTGAATATTTTTGCCAACATTCTTCACAATCATACATTCATAATCGTTCAGATTGTTATTATAACTGCACAATTTTTTATCGTCCAATATGGAGGTATTGCTTTTGGAACAACAAAGCTCGCTTGGTATCATTGGCTTGTGACTGTTTTAATTGGATTTCTCTCCATACCCATTGGTGTAATTATTAGACTCTTTCCTAATACTTGTATACCAGATGATATTCTTAATGAGGATTACCATCAACGTTAAGATGAAAGATCGCTGGTCCTATATGCAATAAAGACAAATTGATGGCCACTTGGAAGATCGCTTGTCCGATAATCATTTTCCACATACGAAAATTTAATTAATGATGCATTTTTTACAGTAGGTAAGCGAGATAAAAGCTCGTCAGTTGGAGGTTCGGTCGCCAAAGCGAGTGCAGCCAATGTGTCCATAATGAGATTAACCCAAAGTAGTTGTACAGCTGTTAACACGGATTCATTCTCATCACTTAAGACGGCACTGGTGAAAGATATTATAACCGCAGCAATATTAACCGTGAGTTGAAATTGTAAAAATTTACGTACACTATCGTTTATGGCACGACCCCATCTCAATGCGTTGACAATGGAATTGAAGTTATCGTCCATTAAAATAATAGATGATGCTTCCTTTGCAACCTCAGTACCGGCAATTCCCATACTGAAACCAACATCAGCTAATTTTAAAGCTGGACCATCATTAGTTCCATCACCAGTAACAGCGACAACTTCACCAGATTCTTTAAGACGAGAAACCACGATAGTCTTATCCGTCGGTGAAGAACGTGCAAGCACTTCTAATCGAGGTATTATTGTGGACTGTTCTTCTTTGGTCATATTGCGAAATTCAGGTCCAGTTATAGCAACACCGTTCTTATAGATACCTGCGTTCCTTGCAATTGCCTTTGCGGTTTCTAAGTTATCACCAGTAATCATTCTGACAGTAATACCAGCCTTTTTAAAAATTTTAACAGATTCTATAACACCAGGACGCAAAGGATCCTCGATACCAACTATACCTAAACAAATGAGATCATGAAGAGGTGGATTGTCATCATTGATATGATTAAATTCACTGGTAGTTATATCGCGATATGCCATGCAAATTGTGCGTAAAGCCTTTCCAGCATATTCAGAGATGATATCTTTGAAATGTTGCTTAGATCTATCGTCCAATTTCTGCACTTTGCCTTCAGCATTAACAAAATGTGTACAACCATCTAAAACAATCTCAGATGCGCCTTTAACATAAATACGATATTCTACATGTTCCGAAGCTTTACTATGAGAAGTATTAGATGAGGGTAATCTAATAATTGTAGTCATACTTTTTCTCTCTGATGCAAAAGGATAAACTTTTACTTTCTTAGCTTGGGATCTTATATTTCTGTAGTCTAAACCCAATTCTTGGCATAACGAAAGTAATGCACATTCAGTTTTAGGACTAATGGATCAAATAAAAACATTTAGTTTGTTTTCGATAATTAATTAATTAAATATTTAATTTTTATACATACACAACAAAATTCAATTGGCCTTTTTCATCCGCGTCTTCAAATGCAGTAGAATTAACAATTATGCCTTGTGTAATAATCTCGAATGTATTTTCCTTAATCCTATTTCTCAATTGTTGAACATCATTGTAATCCTCAAACCTTTCCTGACCAAAAAACCCTTCTACCACTGTCATTCTGTTTTGAGTTAATGTACCGGTCTTATCCGAACATATTGCAGTCGCATTTCCCATAGTTTCACTAAAAAGTTTTATAAATTTATAATTATTGATAAAAAAAAAAAAAAAAAAAAAAACATCACGTAATATATACCAAGCGATAAAATTCGGACCAAGTTATTATCTTTCAACATCTTGGTGGTTGCGTAAGCAAGCGCAAGTGTTACAGCCATGGGTAACTAAGACAAGATTAATATGCACAAACATTCAACATGATTTTTTTTTTTAAAAAAAAAAAGAAAATGTAGCTAAAAAAATAAAAGTTCACAAAAATAATAGTACATACACCCTCTGGTACAGCAACAACGATAATAGTAATTGTTTGAACAACAATAGAAGTCATGGCAACCATTATCTCTTCCAATTCAGGAAAATGGTCAGAAAGAGCCGCATTAATAAAATATTTAAGGATTAGTGTACTAAGAATAAGAGCATTATTTAAAATTAATTTTATATCACTTAACAAAATAATTTAAATCAGGGGATGAAATATTTGTACTCACAGCAACATAATTAGTGCAATAGCAACGCCTAACTTGGCTATTTGTTCAGCAAGAAAGTCTAATTTCATTTGAAGTGGAGTCTCTTCATTTTCATTATGACGTAATGCCTAATATGTATGCATTAAATAAGAACATTAGTGATGTCTATGAATAGAAAACTTGTTAAGAGATTATAAGAATTGCAAAGATGTATGTTTACCATCATAGTTTTTCCAAAATAAGAATTTATGCCTATTTGAGAAGTGAATTATAACATTTAACATATATAACATATTACGTAAAAAAAGTAAACGTATTAAAGTGAAATTTATTTACCAACAGCAATAACAACTACTTTACCAACGCCATCTGTAACTTTTGATCCACTCAATATGAAGGGATCATTATCACCTTTTTTCATGGCATCAGATTCACCGGTAGCGCTTGATTCATCACAAGTGAGATTATGGCCACTTAAATATAAACCATCAACAGCAACTATATCACCAGGTTCAAGAATCTATGTAATAGAATTAAAATTAAATGTAAGTTTGAAAAATACAACTAAAAACAATCATATATTAACATTACCATAATGTCGCCAACATTGACTTCAAAAACCGAAATTTGTTGCTCTTTACCATCTCGAATAAGCTAAGAATTAACAATAAAAGTTATTACAGAGTACTAAAAGTAAAGATTTTAATTCAATAAAATCACCTCGATATTACGGTCATCCTTTTTATCGTTAAGTTTTCTAAATTGGCTTTCCTTTTGATAGTCATTTATCGCGCTCGTAAGAACTACAACAGCAACAGCAACAAGGATTGCAGTGCCTAAAAAAGTAGGGCAAATTTAAAATCTATATAACAAACATTATAAAGATAACAAAAAACAATCATTTACCTTCAATCCAACCAAGACGTGGTTCATCAGAAGACTTGGATAAATCTTCACTAATACCGAGAGCAAGAGAAACAAAAGCAGCAATACTTAATAAAACTAATTATAAAGAAAATAGTAATCATTGTCAGAATAATGGAAAAGACGGAAATATTTAAAAATAAATAAGCTTAAATATTACTTAGGGTTTTATCACAATAAGCGTCCCAAACCAGGGAGAGAAATGATTGCTGATCGGCTTTTGGTAAAACCTAAGATTTAAATATTAATCGATGGGCAGCATTGATAGTAGTAGTACGTTCGATTAGAATAAAAAATACATTTTTTCCAAAATGCTTTCGTCTTTCTTGAAAAGATATTTCTTGATCGATTCTTAGACCATAATCACGATCGACCCTCAAACCATCAAGAATTTTGTCAGTACCACCATAATCTTGAAGCAAATCTAAATTTTTTGGATCGACAAGTTTCTGCAGCTGTTCAACATTAAAAGCAAATGGGCCAGCATTACGCGTTTCTTCATTAATGAGAGGTTGATTCTCTGGAGACTCGCGAGGAGGCATTTTGTAAAACAGACAACTCTTAACTGCATGTGTAAACGCCAAATAGAAAAGAATTATCTAAACTGTTTTTACATTTAAACACTAGACACGAAGAAAGACTATAAAATGCAATGTGAATTATGGAGCTGAACACCTTTTCCCTTAAACGAAGGAATTGGAAACACAAACTTTGACTATAATAGAAAGTTATATTTGAGTACAAAGAAATTCGTTACCTTTTAGAAGTAAATAAATTTAGAGTATTTGAGCTTAAATAAAAACTTTTAAACTCAAAGTCTGCTTTACTCGAATTTGTATCGTATATAGTCTTTAAATAGAATTTCATTATTAAAGTAACTTAGTTAACTGTTAATGCATAATAATTGTTACGGATTATCGTGAAGTCAGATTATCGTGAAATTTGGGGGTCTCGATTTGAAATTAAACATATGTAGTATGAATAAAAAGAGACTTTCGGTAATTTTTAATGCTTATGTACAATTTCCCGAAAGTCAACTTTACGATAAAATTTTCCTATAGACCGATATGTATTTTGAATGAATTTATTTTAGTATAGGTAATAATTATATAAATGCATTTTATTAATAATTTCACCTATACGTATCAATGCAAAAATGCATCTGGAACTAAGATATAATAAGTTAAAAATTACATTCGTACCACTCTACAAAAAAGTGACTTAGCATAATTAATAAATACCTACGTAGTACGTACGTATGTATTTTTCTAAGTAGATTTCTATCTTGCGTACGTATTTTTCTACGTAGATTTCTATCGTGTGTACGGTTAACATATCTAATATACTTTACTATGCATGTACTCATATTTTGGCGTAATTTTCGTATGTTTGTCCTAGTCTGTCTTGCCGTACAGTACTACGTACTTTATTGATAATTTTATTACGTAGATTATATAAATATTTATTCAATGCCTCACTATTAAACAGCTTATAAAGTAAAACAATTATGATATTTTTACGTGATAAAATTATTGATCTATTTCACATTGAATGACTACGTGTATAATATTTGATCATACATCTATGTGATATTATAAAGAACGAAAAACTTTCCGCCTGATGAAAAATCGAGTCGGGAATTAACGGAAATTTTGTACTCTGGAATCAGGGACACGGAAATTATGCGATTTGTTTTAGTGCGATTCTTGACAAACCACACTAAATCGCATAATTACTAATT